ATAATAATAATAATAATAATAATTGTGAAGTACTTCTCCCACCAAAAGATATTCATTTCATTCTAGGGGCTCTGAATTTCGTTGCGTCAGTGGATGACCATTACTGACGGGCTGAAATAAACGGTGTTATAGGCCCAGACATATAATTATGATGGAACATTATTATAATATATTAAGACATTTCAAACAATTGATAGAAACTTTACATTTGATTCTTTTTTTGTTTTGTTTTAGCTGGAAGCCGGTGAAAAGGTTTCTTAAAAAGCAGTTTATATGCAGCACCTTTCCTCTTTTTCTGCAATACATGTACTTGTCTTGGAATGTTATTTTGGGCAACTTGTAATTTCCTCATTCTCTCACATGAGATGCCAGACAGAAAAGAATTGCAATAGTTAAGTTTGGACAAGACAAGAGAGAAAGAGCGCATGCATTCAATATTGGTTGAAATAATAAGGTGCGGTATATAAATCTTATTGACACCTCTGTAATCAAAGCAAAAAAGTAAAAGTATAGTTGTTCCCGCATACGATCTGGACAATGGGGATTGTCTTGTTAGTGAGACAACTTCCTGGCCCTTCAGCATATTATGTTCCTTTCCACGCCGACTTTACTTTCCAAACTCAAAGTCAGCTACCCATTACTGCTGGGTGGGTAGGAGGGGGCGAAAAAACTCCAACTCCAAAACGAGGCTCGAACACGGACTTTCTGCTTCGGAGACGAGCGCACTAACCGCTCCGCCACCGCACCCGTGATCGAATTACATTACATAAATTCGAGTGGCAAAAACCTCTGAAAACCACACAAAATAATATGTGAAGCGTGCTGACAAAATGAGTTATTTCTCAGATTCAAGCCTTAAATACACTACATCACGCTTATAGGTGAAGTTTTTACAATTCATACAATAAGTATGAAATAATTAAAGGCATGTTGTACTTAAAGAATCTGACATTATTAGAAAAATCTACAATTTAATTTTGACCCTAGTTTTGATTTTTTGCCAATATCTCCATTTGATGATTGCGAGAAGTACCTCATTTATTTACATGTTATATGAGAAGTGGGTGAAGGCTATGTTTTGGGATCGCCATCACTACTCACTACAAACAACAGCAATAACAACAAAGAACAAGAACGACAACAATTACAACAACACAACACAAACAGCCAAAACAACACTAACAACTACAACAATTTCTACAACAATACAAACGACAACAACAAAAACAATATCTAAAAAAACGCAAACAAAAACTACAACAACGATGAGAACAATATCAACAATAACAGTTACACAAACGACGATGACGACAACAACAACAACAACAACAACAACAACAACAACAACGACAACAGTGACAACAATACCAACAACTACAACAAAAACGACAAAAGAAGAGATCAACAAATGACCTAAAAAAACAGGAATAACATTAAGGAAAAAAACAACTTTTAAACGACAAAGAAAAACAACACACAAGAAAACCAATGAAAAACACCGCCAGAAAAAAGAGAGAAACAGAGAAGAAACTAACACATAATATATGAAGCCCACTCACTCCCTCCTCATCCCCCCCGC